CACAATTCTGATGCTAAAACGAAGTGCGCTACACCTCTCAGGCAGCAGGGTTTTCGTGCAATACGGTCTGATCGAGATTCAGGTCACACTCATGTGGATGCTGAAGACAGTACTTGGGCATCAGCGGACTAGCCTGTACACCGGCCGCAACAAGATACTCTCTGAAGTTGAGAATACGCTGCGTCAGTTCGGTGGTCCTCTTGTTGCCATTCTCATCCTTGTTTCCACTCCAGACAAGTTCCGCAAGCGCAGCAGCGCGCGGCCACATTTTCTGAGAAATGACGACTGAATCGACTTGCTCGGACCAGAGAGGTGCGATAGCGCCTTGTACAAGCGCCTTTTGGGTATCGGTCAGGTTGAGCGTGAAGTCGTAGTCGTAGATGCGCTGCCATGTCTTGTATGGTGCGCACCAGGAGCCACCGCCGCCGCCCCAGTTGAAGTTCGCTGAACCGTCTGTCGCATTGGGGTTGACCATGACGTTGTACCTCTGGTCGTTGCCTACCCAGCCTCCGTATCCACAGTCCAGGTACATGAAATCGGAGCTGGAAACAATAACGCGGTAACCCTGTCCGGTAAGATTGCTGATGTGGTCAAGACCGTTGTTCCAAGCTTGTAGGACGACGTCTTTGGGTACGACACCTGTAGCGGCCACGTCAGCGGAAAGCTTGACGTCTTCCCACATGACGAAAGTCTTGTTGGCTTGTGCACGGAAGTTGGGGATTGCGCGATCAACCCAGACTTGGTAGAGATCGCCCATTGATTTGCCGCTGTTGAAGAATGCGAGGGCTGCAGTGGAGAAGTTGTTGCAGTTTGCAAAGAGCTCGTCACCACCAATGTGGAACCAGTTGTCCGGGAAGACCTGTGTCATTTCCTTGTACACTTTGGCTGTCACCTCGTAGGTCTTGTTGTTGAGGACGTCAAGTTGACCTGGGTTGGGCTCTACGCCTGTGTGCAGTGCGTAGTTGTCGTTTGACCACCAGCTGTGTTGGCATGTAAGTAGGGACTCATCGATTTGCGCCCAACCGGAGCTGGCGTGTCCTGGCATATCAATTTCCGGAATGATGCGTACGCCACGTGCGGAGGCGTAGGCGATGACTTCCTTCAGCATATCTTGGGTGAAGATTTCATTGGCTGAGTAGGCGTCCTCCGTCATCTCGGGATACGCATTGATCTCTACGGCCCAGGACTGCGAATCGATGAGATGCCAGTGCAGAACATTGAGCTTCGAAAGAGCCATTCCGTCGATTTGTTCAAAGATTTTGGCCTTGGTAATGAAGTTGCGGCCTGTATCGATCATGATACCGCGCACCGGATAGAGTGGCGCATCCTTGACAGCGACGGGTTGTTCGATGATCATCTTACCCGAGCCATCGTTGATCACAATTTGCTGGAGCGTGGTGAGAGCGTGGAGGGCGCCGTAGACAGTTCCAGCTGTGATATCGACAGTATCCGAGCCAGCTACGACGTCGAGCGTGTAGGATTCATCAACACCATGTTGAAGCTCAGCGTGGGCATTGGAGACGTCAATTTTGACCTTGGTGATTGTGCCTGTGCAATTTCCGGGTGGTGCACTGTACTGCCTCTTGCGCTTTCTTGAGGCAGCGGTTGGTGTTGGAAAAGGCTGAAACGATGTGACCGGGGCTTCGGTGGCTTGCGGAATCCACTTCAGCTCCGCGATGGTCTTAGAAACGCGGTCGAACGCAGCGGAGAGTACCTCATGATCCGGCGCATCGAGAGCGACAGATCCAAAAGAGAAACAGCCAGAGTCGCCCCAGGTAATGTTTGTGGGTTTCGGGAGAGGGTTTGCAGCGACAGCTTCAGCTTGTCCGGCGAACAAGGCTGAGGCCGTGACCACGGAGGCCAAGATGAAATCGCGCATGGTTGTTCAGCTGTCAGGATGCTACTTGTATTGAGATTGGGAGTAACGACTGCGGAAAGAGAGTGGGTTGTTGTGTTGTTATAAATGGCCAACAACCATTAGTAGTGAAGACGAACAGCGTTGGCGGTGGACTCCGGAGTAAACTCACAACGTGGGGAGGGAAGGAGGATATCTATCAATTTCGCATTGAGTAGTTCAGCTTTGCCATCCTGGTTAGGCTATTCGCATCCCAAGCTCACAGATCAGCGACTGGGCGGTGCACTAACCGGGAAGTGCCCCTTAGCTGGTATATCAGAGCCAGTTAGTTGCTCAGCCTTGCTGCATATGCTAGCTCTCGACAGCCTCTGCTGCAACCCTTTCCCGCTCTCACCAGACCGCGCCGCCCGCGCGCTCGCATCCGTACCGCATTTCTCCTGTGGCTGCTGCCTGCTGCCGTGTTGCAACGTACCCCACCTTCTTTACTCATCCTTGGGGGCATATACGAAGTGTGTGCCGCCAGTTCGATACTACGCTCTTTGCCAACGCCTTGGAATATAGCCATGGTAAACCCTGCGCGCTGACAACGTGCACCGAGTGCTGGGGTTGGCGTGACGGCCCCCGAGCAGGAGGCTAGAGTAAAAAGTGGGTTCCCCACCACCCGACCGCGAATGGATCCTCGGAATCCGCGCTAAAACAAACGGCTGGTACCCCGACATGCTTGTCTCGTGTTACCATGACCTGCTCTTTCTGTTGTGACAAGTTTAGCTTGACATTCCGGGGTGAGTGTGCATGTGGGAAGTCTGATGTGACAGTCCCGTATTCGAGTGCAGTGGCGGTGATGATGGTCATGAAGAATGCAGCGACGAGTTGGAAGGGTGGCGCTTCGGAAGTTTTGGTGGATCCGCGAACGCGTGGCGCCGTCCTTGTTCCTTCCGAGCTGCGAGCCTGTGCGGGCTGATGCATGAGGCACAGCAATCGGCTGTCGACATGTCTCATCACTCAATCTGCGTTGTTGGTGCGTGGAGGGGATATGGTCACTTGTCTAAGCCTGTAGTAATGGGCTGTTCTAGTGTACCAATCATGACGCTTTTATTTCCAGTAATCAAATAAGCTTCAGCTTGCGCCTTGATGCGACAGCCACGGCTGGCGGCACTGCTACGGTCTCCTCCAAGATGACGCTACCATACCTATCCGCCATGTCATTGCATAACCGTACCGTGTACACCGTTTGCTCATCAGTTTCAGATTTTGCTCGGCATGGGCTGGCGAACACTACAATCGGGCCGTAAGCGAGAGTCAAATGTTAAACAACATGCAGGTACACGGATTTGCGGATATGAATGACTAGCTATTTCTCATGTGTAAGTGCAACAGGAGCAGAAGTAGAACCAGGACCAGACACAGACACAGACGCAACCTCGCCTAACGGTGCAATACTACCAGACCCAGTCACAATCTCGTGATGAAGCTCGCCTTTGATCTTGGTCCAGTCCGGTGCTGGCACGCTGAGCAGCTTGCAAACGTCCTTCCGCCTCTTTCTGAAATCCTCATATAAGCCCTTCCATATCCGTCTCTCAGCGCAGGTTCCCTCGGGGCTGCCGCCACAGTCGGGCTGCATCTCCTCCAAAGCCTCTTTTGACCACATGACTGACGGGGGAGGCAGCGGCAGGTCGCTGAACTGGATGATCTTCCCTTCCTTGTAGACCTTCTCAGCATCCCATGTCTCATCAGCGCTGCCTAGATACTCGGAATGATTGTGGCGCCTGAACTCTGCTGTACGAAGGGCGTAAGGACGATGTGGAAGTACTAGCGCGCTCTCCTCAAAGCGTTCGTTGAGAACCTCCATGTCGTATCTGTGCATCTCGACTAACATGCTATCACCACCCCCTTCCATACGGTTCTTGAACTTCGCAAGCTCGTCAAGGCTAGGTTTGACAACCATGAGCGTCGTCGACAATGGCCACGGTTTGCTGTCCGTCCAGTATGCCCGTGCCATCGCTATTGGCGTCGGAGGGAGGAGGAACAGCTCATCGAGAGAGTCGAGGAGCGTGATCTGCGACTCCAAAGCGATTATGCGGTCGTAGTACTCTAGACCAAAGGCCATGAGCTTCGTGACGGTCTTGTCCCATACCCAATCGCCTAAAAAGCGGTTAGCCATGTGCTTATAGATTCTCGCTTCATATGCCGGGCGGATGCGCACTTGCGCAATGCATACCTTCTGTACGGCCTGCTACCTCAAGCAGCCTGATAGGATGAAGCTTTGCCTTGTAAACATCGCGCGCTAAGTTGAGTAGTTGACTGTCTCGGTCCTCAGCGCTGTCTACTTTTGTGTCCCAACGCTCCGGGTAGAAGAGGACGCGATCTGCCTTGCTACCGAATCGAGCGAGCGCGTCCAGGACCATTACGGCGTGGCATAGTTCGGCGCTATCGGTCGCGTACACGCTGTACGCATAGTTCGACCAATTGACCCTGATAGCATCTCCAGTATGAGGTGTCGTCTTGCGCGATGGATAGAGGATCCAGCAGATAAGGAAGAAGCCGAGGAAGTAGTACGCGTGGCGGCGTCGCAGGCGGAACGAGGGAGACTTGGCTTCGTCTACGAATCGTGGCAGCTCATCTGATCGTCGCCGACGCATTGTACGGTTTGCGTTGACGTTCGACCGACATGTTCGAGCGATTGTGTTGGTTGTTCAGGTGTCAGGAAGTGACTGGTGACGCGGAATCGCGGAAGTGTAGTGCGGAACTCCGAACTTCCAGGCTGCGACGCACGACGATCTTGCATTGACAGCTTCATATACCACAGAGCACACTGTATCCATCAAGGTATAGAAATAAACAGCGGATGTCTGTCAGAAAGGGAGAAACATGGCACAAGTTTAAGATCTGTTCGAAGGGATTATCACAACACGCATGAGACCGTTTTGATTCGACATGATGCATTGTATCATTGCCGTATGCCAGGGTCACTTTTTGTAGTATGGTATCAAACATCCCAAACGCCGCGGCTGTGCAAACTCCACCGGTCCCGGGACGGGTAACTCTGGGTGGGAGACATTGTCCTCATTCAGCTATGTAGCACCCTCTATGGCATGTATCGTTCCATCGTGATCGTCAAGCATTTCTTGATGCAAACGCTTACTCCTCAGGAACTGCGCTTTGTTAGTGATTGAGTTTCGCAAGTTGCCGGGTATAACATACTCTCAATCTCGCCAGCCTTGATGTCGTCAGAGACATCCTTGGGGCTACGGCCGTCAACCTTGCAGCCAGTGCTGAAGGCAGTTCCGAGGATCTCAAGAACGGTACCCTGCAGAGACTTGGCCATGGACTTGAAGCGCATGGTACGGGCAATGCTGATGATCTCATCGAGGGGAACGCTCTTGGTGTGCTTGATGTTCTTCTCCTTCTTGCGGTCCCGGGGAGGCTCCTTGAGGGCCTTGATAACGAGGGAGGAAGCGGAGGGAACGACGGAAACGGCGGCTTGACGGTTTTGGATGGTCAACTTGACGGTGACACGGAGACCCTTCCAGTCACCAGTGGCCTTGGCGATATCTTCACCGACCTCTGCATAGCAAGTTAGTATTTCCATGCATGTGCGCTGGTTGATGGGTTCGTTGCCTACTCTTGGGCGAGAGACCGAGGGGACCGATCTTGGGGGCGAGCGCGGATGAGGCACCGACTTCACCACCGGTCGCACGGAGGTGAATGACCTTCACCTCGGAGGGATCGAACTTGGGAGCTTTGAGGATGTAAGCGCATGGCGATTTCTAGGAAAGCCTGGCTGTTGAAGATGTTTGAATTCTCTGAGTGTCAAGAAACACCCTCCATTGGGTGTCCTAGCCACTCAAAAACTTCGCGCATCTTCGTAAGAGCCGACCAGAAGGATGATACTCACGCATGGCTAGTGCTTGAGGTAGTCAATCGGTTCTGGTTGTAAAGAGAGACTGCCGTTAATTTTGTCGGTTCGAAAGTTCGTGAGAGACGGATTCTCGAGGTGGGAGCAATATTGGTCGACCTGTGAGAGAAGCGAGCCTTGGCAGCGCCTTCCCCGATAGGCGATAGCTAGCCTGCATCTCGCCCGGGCATCTCAGGCGACGCTGCATTGCTTCACATCTTGTTCCACCACCACGCGAGTTGGTCTTGAAAACGCATCGAGAGGACCATTTCATATCAATGTATGGTCGCTCTTTTGCTTCAATATCACACGTTCAAACCAATGACCGAAACGCTTCACATCACCTGGGCACGCCATCCACGATACCAGAACAATGTGACAATGTGAAGATGCCCTCATCATGATTATATTCTGCAGTGACATGACCTTATCCTGATACATCTCATTCGTGTTTCTCAACCCCTTCATATACCAAACGTTCACCAGCCAGCAGCACGTGCACAACCGACAGCAGCACGACAACAAACACCAAGTACTTCACCACCTTGGCAATCAGTATGTACGAATACAAAACCTGGGATCATGTTTCCTTTCAAGGACAGATAGTCTTCTTGCTTTCTCGTAACGGCCTCTATATCCAATTTCCACGGGAACGATAGCACAACACAGCAAACCATGGTCATACAGCCTTCCTACAGAAACATACACAGACGCTGCGAGAAGGCAATTCGCATAAGAGATCAGATCGACTTCCTTGTATGTGTGATTCAGAATGACTTTGTACCTCATGGAAACACTCTAAACACCGTGGAATAGACTCGAGCCGGAAACGACAAGGGCACTCCGAAGAAGAAGGATGACGAAACACCAGCGCCTGAATGTGTTCAGGGAGAGTCAAAACCCGAAGCTATCAAGTCTTCGCCTAATGTCGATACCGTAATCCTTAAATGGCCTCTTCCCCCATCCGCTATACATGACGGCCTCTTGTTCAGGAAGGTTGGATGATGCAATGGGGCATGCTGAGTTGCTTTGATACATATTTTTGTTTTGTTTCTCGCGCGCGCAAGCACGCAACTTCTGTAAGCCTATGCTGGCAATATTTATTCTATGACCACCTGAAACGACAGCTCGCTGGTAACGCCTATCAATACCACAGAGCGATAGCTATGTCCGAAATGCCTCAATACTGATTTCTCCGAGAAGATGACTCTTTCTTCAGCAAAGATCACGCACCTCGTCCTCTGGAGATACCCAATCCCTGAGCTGCGGGGGCATTCTTTTCCCTCTCACTCACGCTGCTCCTTCTCCCAGCGATAGCCGACACACTTTCGCTCCTTGAGCTGTCCATGCTCTGCCTCATGCTGCTAGAGCTAGACCTGCGCCTAGCACGTCTCGCCTCGTCGGGGTCATGGGGGTTGAGCCCACTTGCTCTTGCGAACAGATTTAAGATATCCGTGAGACTGATGACGCCACTTAATCTGCCAGATAAGCTGGCACCTGGCATAGCAGAGATTGCTGACGCAGAAATAGCTGGGGCAACCGCTCCAGTACTAGCAAGGTGGGTCGGCGCAGTGGAATTGACGGGCGTTGGGCCGGCCATCCCTGGTAGTGGTGTGATTGGTGAAGGAGGGACAACAATCGCAGGTGTTATCGCCGGAGTCGATGGTCCTGAAGACGCCGGAGACGGCGCATCCACGACCCACATGCGATGCGAGCGGGTTGCGACTAGCTTGGCCACAGTGTGTGCGAGGGTACTGAATGGGTTGACGTGGAACACGGGGAAGGAGTCTTTGCCGTCATTTACTCCCCGTTCGGACAAGATGACAGATATGAAGTGAATACAGGATGAGCGAAGCAGCGGGAGAGATGTGGATTTGGTCAAGAGCTATGAACCAGCGGTTAGTCGCGGAACATGAAACTGCACAGACGAGACTTACCCGAACATCCACATGGGATATGTTGCCGATGACGTTGTTTTGTGCGTCCAAGACTGGGAGTGACGACACGCCTTCGTTGTTCATGAGCTCCAGAGCCGCCGCAAGAGGCTTATCTCCACTAACATCCAGTCAGCTTTGTGATTTCTGCGAACCCGCGCTATGCTTACTTGATGGCTAGAACGGTCTTGGATCCAAGGTTCAGGTCTTTGATTAGCTGTGGGTACAGCTGGTTTACGCCTGGGAAGCTCGATCGGTTCTCCCAGAAGAATTGCACCAGTCTTAGTTGGGTGAGTATGCCCTTGACGTTCGATGTGCCTTCTTCTGCGACCAACACTCTATGTACACCGCTTCCGAAGACTTCTATGGCTTTGGACAGATCCGTTGTCTCGTCGAGAGTAATCAACGGCTCCTTTCTGCCACCAACCTCTTTTACGTCTTTGAGCGGTATGGGCTTTCCTTCTCTTCCTTTCTGTGCAAGCTCGTCGAACGAGGCGATGTCGCCTTCTTCGGGATGCGCGAGGCCGACTACGAGGAGGAGGTACGCGTTCAGGTCGCTGTAATCGAAGGTCCCGGTCGCATGCCGTGTGTTTGCGTCTTCGCGCAGGAGGACGACATTGGGGGCGCCATGTTTGACTAGTATCTATGCAAATCAGCCCGTGCGCATGAAGATAGCTGCACATAACCCACGCTCGTCGCATCCTCAACGCTGGTATCGTACTCGACGAACCTCACCAGGTCAGGATCGACAATCTCTCCCAGTCTGACAGTCTTCCAATCGCGTCCCTGGAACTTTGGATCACCACCCTTGGTTGGAGGGTTGTTGAGGAGGTCTTGTAGCGCTTGCTGTGTCAGCGAAGGCTGCCGTGACGCGCGTGGTGATGTGGGCGTTCCTCGCATGTGCTCCGCGAAGCTCGAACGGTGGGACGATGCCGGGCTGGGGCTGGAGCCCAATTTGAGCGCAGTCGGAGGTGTGCGGCCGATGGAAGATACGGAGCTGTTGAGGGGCGTGTCCTTGACGTCAATAGCGTCCGTGGTGTCGTGGTCTGCCATGGTGACGGCGGCTATGTTTTGGGGTATGCGGGGCTCCACACAAAGTGTTTATCGGAACGCGTGGGTGGGTATGTATTTGAATGCGCGTGATGGCTAGATGCTCTAAATGGTCTTGTCGCAAGGAGACGAGCAGTCGCGCGGCTTGCAGCTTCAAGTTGGGCTGGACTGTGTTTGCGGCATGTGAAGTGCAATGAGGTGGGGAGGGCTTGCCTGCAGATGCAGAGCCCAGAAGATCGTCTCCTGCCTGGTCAGGGCACTTGGGCCGCAAGCTGCAGCCAAAATGCGGGGTGTGATTCGCTGCATACCATTACTATCAACCGTGTCGCCCATGATTGCGCATCGACTGACACAGCCTTGCGGGGTTACAGACGCGTCCGCGAGTGACGGCGGCGGAGGGGCGCTCCAAGCCATTCAATCGCGTGCTCGACGTCATACTGAAGTACTGAGAAACCGGGGAAGCATGCCAATCGCGCAAGGGGTCCAAGGCTCTAAGCGGTGGTCAATCATAGTAGCATTGCATTCATAAAAAAAAACTCTTGTACGCAGCCCTCGGGCTGGTTGATTTCCGCCCATACTAACATCCTGAACAATTGTCAAGGAATAGCCTTCCGTGACCCATCACTCAGGTTTTGCCCAACGCCCGCCTCAAAGCATGACTCGAGTGAAACAAGAAACATTTCCCTAAGCGTCCTTCTGCTGCTCATAGTCCATGCCAGCATCTTTGTCAGCTTGACGCTGCGCCATGCGCTCGCGAATGGCGTCCCCTGAAGTAGAGTCTCCATCACGGCCACTGGCGGGGGGCGCATGGCTCGCTGTGTCGACGACGTTGTCATCGTAGGTCATGCCGTTCATCATGCGTGCTTCCTTCTTCTGTTGCTCCGTGCTGGACATGGTCTGCGTGGAACCAGAACTGACAGGCACGCTGACACCGGACATTGGACTGGTCGGCGTCTGTTCTCGCAAGTAGCCCGGCAGAGCGCTTGCCTTTCCAACAGCAGGGCTGCCGAGTTGACTATGCTGCCGAGCTGGTGTGCGCGCACCCTCGCCGAAACCAACAAGAGAGGCGGCTTCGTCACTGAAGCCCCCGATGCTTGATGTGTCCATGTCCTGGTCCTCGCTCATGCGGTCCGGCTCGTAGACATCGCTGCCACTTGCCCACGTCGTGCGACCGCCAACGGATCCGGTTGCGCTGGCACTACCAACCGTGCTGCGCTCACGGAAGAGCTGCGGCTGGTTGTTTGCGTCAAAGTAGCCTGGGGGAGGATTGGCGGCGCTGCCTGGGTTGAGTCCTTGGGGAGTGCGGCCCGACACTGCAACGCGCTCGAGACCGGCCAGGCGCGAGATGCGGTCGGCACGCTCAGCTTCAGCAGGATTCCGGTGGTGAGGGAAGTGACCGCGATGTCCGTCTTTGATGGCGACAGTCGAGAGCTCAGACATGGTCGTGGTGACCGAGTTCGGGGTACCTCTGTGTATACAGCGTCAGTCCGACTATGACAATGAACCCCACCAAGCGCATATGCCTTACGGAGCATCACCAGGCGTCTCGTCGCCAGACGGCGGAGGCGGCAGGTTGATCAAGGTGGGCGCGTTGGTTGCCATTGTGATTGTATGGTCTGGATTGGTTCTTGCTATGTTCTGTGAGTGGTGGATGGCTCAGGAGAAGTACGGTAATGTTTTAGGAAGTCTGGTTACAAGGAGCCCGGGCCCCGTGACGAATGACGTAGCCGACGGACTGGTAGCGCTTCAAACAAAGCAAGGGCAAAGATGCTGATCACGCCTTCTTGTAACAGATTAGATGTCTTTATGCGATCGACAGTCAGCTTAGATGTGTAATTTACACTGACTGGAGTCGACTTTGAGATAGTGTCGCCGCCTCATTCTTGGGGCCTCTGGCCGTTGGCTAGGTGTTTCTTGACGCAGGGTCTTCTTGCCCTAAAATTTACCGAGCCGCTGATTCGCTACCAGGGCAGTGGTTGCTTCACTATCGCCTCTTCACCTGGCTGTCCTGCGAACTATCTCAGAAACGTGCTTCAATTCTGCTACCACGTTATTTATGCCCAAATAATGAAACAGCTGCAACATCCTGTATACACACAGCCCCCCTGCAATATCTCATACACCATGACAGCCCAACAGTCTACATAACCGTACAGTTGGTCGCGGGCTTGTCTGTATACTTGTACTTGTAATGGCTCTTATGCCTCCTTCTCTTTCGCCTGCCATCGTGGTATCCGTTGCAGTCGCTGGCATAGCCATCATCGTAGGCACCAAATCCGGTATCGTACATCATCGGTTCATTCATAACCATCGCTGAACCGCCCATCATCGGTCCGTTCGTGATCATTGGAGCATGCGATATCATGCTTTGAGGGCCATAGGGGCCAGTGAGGCGGTGGTCATAGGTAAAGCCCTGATTCATGGGAATCAAAGCACCAGACATGGGTCCAGAAGTGATCGCTGGGCCTCCCCACCCACCAGACATGAACGGTGCGCTGCCCCACTGACCCGGGATCGCGTAGTTGCCGCCAACGTGGTTTCGAAGCATCTGGTTACAACCCCAAGGTCCCTGAACCATTTCAATTGTCTCTCGATCTGCAAATCCGCCGTTGCAAATAGGACAGGTGTATGGCGGTGCAATTAGTGTCTGATAGGTTTGGCGGTTGGGGCAATTCAGGAGATCAGAAAGGAAGCCGCAAGGTTGGCTCATGGAGATCCAGGAATGACCGCATGTTGGCGAGTCGTATAGAGTGCAGCCGCACATGTCGGACAGATGGAGAAGTTGCACAAGGTGTAGATCTTGGGTAGTCAGACGACACAGGTCGAGTATTGATAGTGTACCACCCTCAGCAAGATATGATTAGGCCAGGAAAAGGCGTTGATAGCTGCGATGGGCTGAGGAGAGCTGCAAACCGTGAAGCGAGGACTCTTTGAAGGAGTGCGATCATGGAGCGACAGACGCGGGCGTAGAGGACACTGGAGACTGATCTGATATTGCTGATATATATAGTACATCCTGGAGTGCGATGTGAAGCATCGTGGCTTTTCGTGTTTACGCATTCATCGTTGGGAGTGAAGTCTGCCACGTTTGCCCCTTGATTGTTGTTGAATTCCAGGTTGTGATCAACGCGTGGCGCGATCACTGTTCTTTGGGATCCTTCTTGTCAAGCAAGTCAACCACACGCTTTTCTTCGGCATCGGCGTCCTCCTGAGCCTGGTTCTTGATTTGTTGCATGAGCTCGTACAGCTGACCAATTTGTTGATCTATGATCCAGTCAGTAGGCAACGTTTACACATGTTGGTAAACCTACCGCTCATCTTGTCAATCTTTGCTTTGTCCATCTTGGCTTCCTTCCATGAATCTCCTTCGAGCATTTGACAATATGTTTGCCATTCCGATAAAAATCCGATCTGTCCATGTCAGAAACTGTGATGCATAGCCATCACCCTGAATTGATCGCAACTCACTATTTGCACGGGGTTGTCGATGTCCCTGTGCGCTCTGAACTCGGCCTTGACGTACATGTCACCAAGTAGTCGCTCTTCCACGCCCAGCCTTTTCCTATGTGAGCGTAGCAGGCGACGGTAAAGCGGTATTGGCGGCAACAAGGCAGCAGGTGCTGGCCTAAAGGGTCTAGATGCTCCTGCATCTGTTGCTGTAGCTAGTAACCGCGTGTAGGCTCTCATACTGGCACAAAAATCGGATGAAGCTTCAAAATATTGCGACAGAGGAACTGTGATGCATTCAAGAAGTGATGACCTCAGCCTCGGCTCTACTCTAGACTAGGGTGCTCCTTCCATTCCAATTGGCCCACACCGACACCTCCGATCTCAAACAAAATCGTAACCATGCTGCCAACACCATCAACAGCCCACGTCTGTTTTGATCGCGTGTACGAACCAGCCGAAGACTCATATCTGTTACTCGATACGCTCTCTTCTGCGTCGGAAACCGCATACCTGAAAGAGCGATTTGGCGATGCTTCAACGACCCCGCCATTGGTGCTTGAAGTGGGCGTAGGATCAGGCGTCGTATTAGCCTTCGTCGCTGCGAATGCAAGCACCATATTCAGTCGCCACGATGTGCTGACACTCGGGGTTGATATAAACAGCTTCGCCTGCAAAGCTGCTTCTCGAACAGTCCGCGATGCCATCAGAGAGCGGGAGAATGGACGCTCGGTCTTCATCGATGTCGTGAACGGCGACTTAGCAAGTGCTATCCGACCGCACTCTGTCGATGTCTTCATATTCAATCCACCATATGTCCCAGCTGAGTTGCCCGATCTGACGAGCCACGACAAGTACAACACTGTGCCGGAAGGAAAGACAGCGATGTCATTCGAACAGGATTCGTACCTTCTAGAGCTGTCGTACGCCGGAGGCGAGGATGGCATGGTGGTAACCGATAGAATGTTGGAGCAGCTACCGGGACTATTGAATTCGGATCGAGGTGTCGCATATGTGCTATTGTGCGCGCAGAACAAGCCGGAAGCTGTCAAACAGCGGATAAGAGATTGGGGTCCGGGCTGGATGGCGGAGACGGTAGGATCGAGCGGAAAGAAGGCGGGTTGGGAAAAGTTGGTGATCGTAAGAATCTGGCGAGACACAGAGTGAGGAGGAAGCTGTGCCTGGCACCAAGAACGCGAGTGGACTTGGTTCAACTGAGGGTTGAAGCGTGGGCAGCGAACCTTGCGTCCATCTCGACCAGAGTTGACCTTCGATCAGGATAGTGATTGTGGTGGGCCGACTTGACCACTCGATTTTGGTAAGGCAGGAGAGCGAGCGTCAGCCTTCGTTATTTTGGCGTCTTCTTGTCGTCCAGGTCAAAAGCCTTCGTGACGAGCAGCGATAGTTCGGTAGTGGTAACACGCTTGATATCCCAGACGTTTGGCTTCCAGAAGAAGGCTTCGGTTTCGGTGCGTTCAACACAGTGATCAGCCTCAGCAGCTGTTGTTACTTTGCGCGTGGCCGTTGTTGTGATGGATGAGATACAGTGGAGATAACCCTGGCCAGCTGGAGGAAGAGTGGAGTAGGGTTGGGAGTTGACGCAGGAGTGTATGGGTAGATAAAGAAACCGAGCTCCCGGAGGAGGTTTTGTTGCGCGATATGTTGTCAAGATGAACAAAGCCAAATAGTAGCACATACATCGTTTCATACGATTTCGTGTCACATCAGGACATATCATACATATTCTTATACACAACTATACGTGAGATTGCCCGTTCCCCAGCGCCCTGACTGCGAAACACTACCAGAACTTGACGTTCTTCTGGTACCAATAACTCCAGCTCTTTCTCCTCTCCTCTTCTGCCTTCCGCTCCATTTCCAGTCGATCTTGCTCTTCCCTCGCCCTCCGCCGAGCCTCCTTCTTTGCCTCAATACTCGCACGCTTCTTCTCCATGAGCTCTTGTGCTTGTTTTATGCCGGCCTTTTCCTTGGATCTGTAGTACTGGCATACTTGGTAGGACACGACGGAGACGCCACACCAGGTTGCTACGGCCCAGTTGGATGATGTGATGACCGGCTCTGTCGTGCTGTCAGTGCATTGCCCTACAGTCCAACGTAGAAATGTCCTGTCACGTACTCCCTATTATAGCGGCCAAACTTCCTCCTGCAAAGCCAGCTGCTAGTCCTTGCAATTGACTGTCTCGTACGCAAGGTCGCTTGTGGAAGTTCAAGTAGTACTCTGGCCCAAGACTTCGTACTGCGTCGATATATGTAGGGCCGCCATCTGATGTCTTTTCTCCGCCTGCTGTATGCGCTGTGCCTCCGGGCATAGTGTTTGCTGGCGCGCGGGGCTTTGGTGGCAGCGCATTCAAATCGACGGTATTCCGCGTGTCGTCGGCCATGATGGTGTGACGGGGGGGATGTGGGAGAAGGGCGGGGAGGTAATGTTCGCGCGCGTTGTATCTATCGGAGATTCGAGGTGAGGTTTCGTGTTCGTGGTTGCTGGTATTCCGACGGTGGTAGGGTGAGTCGCAGTTAGTTCACATTCTCAGGATGCGGAATAGGCCCGAAAATATGCAGCATGTATGATCCCACGAGATCGGGGACAGGGTGTGGCTGTGCTCAGCCACACCAAAATCAATCTACCGAGACGGGGAAAGCGCAAAACACGCTCGAGCGCGTCGCGTCCAGCATTTGCCGATGCACCCTTTAGGACTGCGAGACCCTCGACAAGACACTCCCACCGCCAATTGTCGATACCCCGTCTTTTCGCTCTTTCCTGTCCCAATGATACCCTGACCTGCATAATTAGCATTTAATACTCTTTTATCTTCTGCCACCACACACCATGGCGCCACGACGCGCAGGTCAGCCCTTCCGCCGGGTGGGCAAGTTGGGCAACACATCCTACGGCCCACGGAAACCCAAGACGGTTGATGCCTCGTCACTCCGCAGCGGCGAGGGCACCTCGCAAAACGAAAAACTCGAATCCACGCGCCTCGCCCACCGCATCGATGAGACTATGGGCTTCGCACGCTTCGACTCCGGCAAGAAGAAAGTGGGATGGCTTGTCAACATGCATTCGACAACAATAGAAGACGAGGATGTACCGGGTGGCAGAGCCGGCGTAGACTTTTACTTCATTGGCGACGAAGGTGACACATTCAAAGCGACGCTCGAATACGACCCATACTTTCTGCTGGCGATCAAGAAGGGCAGGGAACAAGACGTGGAAGAATACTGCAAAAAATCGTACGAGGGCTTGATCAAGTCGATCAAGACGGTCGAGAAGGAGGATCTGAGCATGCCAAATCATCTGACAGGATACCGGAGAAAGTTCTTGCAACTCACATTCGCCAACGTAAACGACCTCTTGGCTGTCAGGAAAGCGGTCGCACCAGTGGTAGAGAAGAACAAGAAGAACGTCAATGCGATGGATACATATGCCGAGGTTGCAAAGTGAGTCCAGCTCGTCCCCTCTGCGTATACAATGGCTAACACGCACACAGTGGCAACGGCGCATTTGACTTTTTTGATAACGACGAGTACGAATACGAGAAACGATTTACGACCACCGTTGACGCGAGCGATTTCATTTTAGACATTCGGGAATACGACGTTCCCTACCACGTACGAGTGGCTATCGACAAGGACGTTCGGATCGGAAACTGGTACACTGTCGAGGCCAAGCATGGCGTAATCAGCATCAAGTGCATAGAGGACCGCCTTACACCAGCGGATCCCGTCGTCATGGCCTACGATATCGAAACAACGAAGCTCCCGCTGAAATTTCCCGACGCAGCCATCGATCAGATCATGATGATATCGTACATGATCGACGGTCAGGGATTTCTCATCACCAACCGCGAAATCGTATCAGAAGATATTTCGGACTTTGAGTACACGCCAAAACCAGAATATCAGGGTCCATTCATAATCTTCAACGAGCCGGACGAGAAGGGGGTGCTGGAACGTTTCTTCGAACACATCAAGGAAGCTAAGCCAACAGTCATGGTCACCTACAACGGAGACTTCTTCGATTGGCCGTTCGTCGAAGCAAGAGCTAGCGTACAGGGTATCGACATGTATCAAGAAATTGGGTTCAGAAAGAATAGCGAGGACATCTATCAGTCAGACTATTGTGCTCATATGGATGCCTTCTCTTGGGTCAGTCGAGACAGTTACCTACCTCAAGGAAGTCGTGGTCTGAAGGCTGTTACTATGGCTAAGCTTGGATACGACCCCGACGAGCTCGATCCGGAACTCATGACACCTTATGCAGCTGAACGACCGCAAACACTTGCAGAGTACTCTGTCTCCGACGCTGTCGCGACCTACTACTTATACATGAAGTATGTGCACCCGTTCATCTTCGCTTTGTGCAAGATCCTACCACTCGGACCAGACGACGCGCTGCGCAAGGGTACAGGTACCCTTTGCGAGATGCTTTTGATGGTGCAGGCATACCAGAAAGGCATCGTCCTACCGAACAAGCATCAGGCGCCGAAGGAAGCTTTCTGGGAAGGCCATCTTCTGGAGTCCGAGACTTATGTTGGTGGTCACGTCGAAGCGCTGGAAGCTGGCGTGTTCCGAAGCGACATCGCATATAATTTCGCTGTCGACCCTACGGCTATTGATGAGTTGCTCCACGATCTCGATGCGGCGCTTAAGTTCAGCATCGAGGTTGAAGAAAAGAAGAAGATGGAGGACGTCGTCAACTACGATGAGATCAAGGCCGAGATCGTTGAGAAGCTCATGCAACTCAAAACTACACCGAATCGTAACGAGCGACCCCTCATCTACCATTTGGACGTTGCATCTATGTATCCGAACATCATGACAACTAATCGTTTACAACCCGATTCCATGATTGACGAGTCAAATTGCGCGGCTTGCGACTTCAACCGCCCAGGAAAAACGTGCGATCGCCGAATGCCATGGGCTTGGAGAGGTGAGTACCTCCCAGCTAAACGCGACGAATACAACATGGTCCGAAATGCTTTGGAAAACGAGCAATTCCCTGGAAGATTTCCCAATTCGCCAAAGAGAACATTCCAAGAACTGTCGGAAGACGAACAGGCTACTCTGATTAGGAAGCGTCTGACCGACTACTCCAAGAAGATCTACCACAAGGTCCACGATGCTACGACAATCGAGCGAGAGGCCATCATCTGTCAGCGTGAGAATCCATTCTACGTCGACACCGTCAGTGGCTTCCGTGACCGACGTTACGATTTCAAGGGCAAACAGAAGGTCTGGAAGGGCAAGACGGAGGCACTCAAGGCAGCCGGCGCTCCTGCTACCGAAGTTGAGGATGCAAAGAAGATGATTGTTCTGTTTGACTCTATGCAGTTGGCTCACAAGGTCATTCTCAACTCCTTTTACGGATATGTCATGCGAAAAGGATCCCGTTGGTACTCCCTCGAGATGGCCGGTGTCACTTGCTTGACTGGTGCCCGCATCATCCAATTGGCCCGCTCTCTAGTCGAGCGCATTGGACGACCCCTGGAGCTTGACACCGACGGTATCTGGGCTATTCTACCAGCGACCTTTCCGGAAAACTTTGCTTTCAAACTCAGCAACGGCAAGAAGCTGACGATCTCGTATCCTTGCACGATGTTGAACCACTTGGTCCACGCGCAGTACACCAACCACCAGTACGAGACACTGGTAGACCCAGAAACCTTCCGGTACGAGAAGCATAGCGACAACTCCATCTTCTTCGAAGTCGATGGGCCGTACAAGGCTATGATCTTGCCGACATCGAAGGAAGAGGATAAGAACTTAAAGAAGCGTTATGCTGTGTTCAACCACGACGGTAGCTTGGCAGAACTGAAGGGTTTTGAGGTGAAGCGTCGTGGTGAGCTAAAGCTCATCAAGAATTTCCAGGCTCAGATCTTCAAGTTCTTCTTGGAAGGTACAACACTGGAAGAAACGTATGGAGCCGTCGCGAAGGTCGCCAACCGATGGCTCGATATTCTCGACACTCGTGGAGCGACACTGGCAGATGAAGAGCTCATCGATCTCATTGTGGAGAACAAGAGTATGACTAAGACGTTGGAGGAGTATGGAGCGCAAAAGTCTACTGCTATCACAACTGCCAAACGTCTCGCTGAGTTTTTGGGCGAACAGATGGTGAAAGACAAGGGTCTAAACTGCAAGTACATCATCTCCAAGACGCCCAGGAACGCTCCCGTCACTGAACGTGCCGTTCCTTTGGCGATCTTTTCGGCAGAGGAAACTGTCAAAAGGTACTTCTTGAGGAAATGGTTGCGAGACGATCCTGGGGAGATGGACCTTCGATCTATCCTTGACTGGGATTATTACCGCGAACGTCTGGCGTCTGTCATCCAAAAGCTCATTACCATCCCTGCAGCATACCAGAAAGTCCGAAACCCCGTTCCCAGGGTGCCGCATCCTGATTGGCTTGACCGCAGGATCCGTCAGAAGGAGGACAAGCTCCAACAGACAAAGATGACGGATATGTTCAGCAAGAAGGTGTTAACCAACGGCGACGCCAACGTTGCGAACAACAAGCTGTCTGGGGATTTCGAAGACTTCGGCTCTGCAAAGCTAACGCAGAATCAATCCCAGATGAAGAAGGGCATAGTCACTAAGATGGTGGCGAAGCGCAAGGAGCCCGAGCCTGCAGTACCTATTGTCGACCCATACGCCGCACTTCCCAAAGTCATGCCGAGCATCGATGAAGACTATTCCGGATGGTTGATGTACCAGAAACAGAAGTGGAAGATTCAGCGAGAAGCACGGAAGCGCAGACGACAGCTGTTCGGAGAGAAGGCTGTTGATGCGTCCGATGCGATCGGTAGCTTTTTCCGGAACCAGGCTCAATCTTTGTACATCAGTACATGGCAGCTTGTTCAGCTGCGACCGACCGAGACGCCAGGCGAGGTCAGAGCTTTCATTCTGATCGACAAGAAGATACACGCCCTCAAGATCATCGTGCCTCGACAATTGTATCTGAACCTGAGGAGTGAAGATCTTCCAGATGTCTCGATTAGTGGGTGCTCTGTGGAGAAGGTCGTCAACCATTCTCTGCCGAACGGGCATCCATCGATCCATCTGTTCAAGCTCCAGATGTCGGAAGAGACATACGTCCAGGAAGCAAACAGTATCTCAGCATTGTTCAACCATTCCAGTGTCGAAGGCGTATACGAGAAGCATGTGCCACTCAATATACGAGCCATACTTGAGCTGGGTAGTACCTGCACATTCGACGAGTCGCAGAAGGGTGTGCTCGGAAAGGGTCTTGAACAAGGTTTCGATCTGTCGGCACTGCGAAAGGTGCCGACAAAAGAGCCATACCTGGCTGAGGCACCGTTCAACTATCTATACCTCTATCACGTCAGCAGCGGAGACCGCAACATCTACGGTATCTTCTCAACATCAAAGAATGAGGCGCACATCGTCATCCAGAACAAGTCCAAGGATTCTCAGGGTATGCCTAACGTCGACCGCATCTACCGGGATGCACTGCAACGACGGATGGAAGACAGCAATGGCGAACCGTGGCAGACTATGATCGAGTACCAGGATGACATTCATTTCAAGACAACGATGGTGACTACAAAGCGGAAGGCCCTTCTTGAGGTCGGGGACATTGTCAAAAAGATGAAGGCAGACGAAAGCGGGCCCATGATTGTGGTCATGCAGTCGCCAAACCAGGCTCTTCTCTCCCACGACATTCCTATCCTTAAGGAACTACCCATCTTACCGCTTCACCCTGATGAGACTGATAAGCAACTACCACCACTCGGCTGGCAGGCGTTCATTGCCAGGCGACTAGTAGGCCACTATCTTGATCTTGGGTCCTGGGTTGCCCATCTGCTGGAGCTTGCTCGCTATGGAGACGTTCCGCTCTGCAACCTGGAGAGCAACGACCCACGCTTCCTGATCGATATCGCATATGCACGACGCTTGCAGAAGGAACGAGTGATACTCTGGTGGTCTGGTCAGGCGAAGCCAGATCACGCTGGGTACGAGAAGGATGACATTCTTGGGCCCCTGGAGACGGTGGACATGCCGTCGGTAAACAACCCAGGTACATACTCGTCAGTATGCATCGACATCAACCTTCGTAACCTCGCTATCAACACCATCCTGTCGTCGTCTCTGGTCAACGAGCTTGAGGGTGCAGACTCTGTTTCCTTCAACCCATCTTATGATTCTACGGGTGACGGCTCCCACGTCATCGTGTCAGACAACGCCTTTGCAGGCGCCGGTATCACCGTCCTCCGAGAGATGGTAAAGGCATGGTGGGTTGAAGCTGTTCAAGCCGGGCACGGCTTTAGTATGGCTGATGTCATGGTCCAACATCTCGTCCGCTGGGTCAGCAGTCCGGGATCGTTCCTCTACGACCGCGCACTACACTACTATGTCCAGATGATGTCGAAGAAGACGCTACAGCAACTCATGACGGATTTCAAGCGTGTCGGTTCGCACATCGTATTTGCTAGTCCGAACCGCCTGCTTCTCCAGACGACTAAAGCTGAAGTGGGTAACGCTTATGCGTACAGTCAGTACATCATCAAGACGATCAAGTCGAAACCGCTCTTCCAGTTCATGGAGCTTGAGATCAAAGAATACTGGGACTACCTGGTCTGGTATGACGAGTTCAACTACGGAGGCAAAGGATGCAATGAAGTCACCGAGGACGAGACACAGCCGGTTGAGAACATCATGTGTTGGCAGCTTGCACAGTTCCTGCCGCCGAAGTTCCAGCCGACCTTCAACGATTGGGTCGTGGAGTTCATAGAACTCATGCACGCACGAAAACGCCCTGGGATTATGGAAGACGGCTCGACACCCAGAGTCACCCAGATCCCGCTCCGACCACTTACTGTCGATCCGAACGAGCAAACGCAGATCCTGCCGAAGCAGTTCACTAGACCTCTGTCGAAGCAGATGAACGTTTTCGCCAAGAAGCAACACGCAGAGGTCTTAGATCCCCTCTTCGCTTCCGACTATGTCTTCCCCGAGCTTCCGGGCTCGCATCTCAAGCTCACGAATCCGGTCTTGCAACTCGTCAAGAGCATCATGCAAGTGCTAAGTCTGGATCGTGCCATCTCGCTCGAAGCGCGTGCGCTGCGAAAGGAGTTACTGAACCTCTTCGACATTCGCGAGTTCAGCGCAGAAGCTAGCTTTACCAACCCTAGTGCCGCCCTCGTCGTCCGGGGCGTCATCTGTGATGATTGCACATCTTCGCGCGACCTGGATCTCTGCCGCGACTCCTCTCTCCTTCCAGTCATCCTTCCCGACAGCGACGCCGCCCCCGTCCTTCCCAAATGGAAGTGCGACAACTGCGAGTCAACCTACGACAAACGACGCATCGAAGAGCAACTCGTCGGCGAAGTGCAGAAGATGGTACTCGAGTGGTGTACGCAAGATCTGAAGTGCGGCAAGTGCAAGAGGCTACGCAGCAATGAGTTTATGGAACACTGTGCTTGCGCAGGCGAGTGGGTAGCTACGAAGAACAAGCAGGAGATCAAGAGGAAGATGAATGTGTACGGCAATGTTGCAAGATTCTATACATTGGGCATGTTGGAGGCTGTTGTTGAGGAGTGTTTGGAGAGTTTCTGAAGGGCATGTGAAATTGCTGTATGATGGCGATCGATCGGTACGGCGTTCTTGTCTTGGGCATGTGTGCGGAATCGGGGCGCGCGGCGTCCTCGGTCTTACTCCGCATGGGTTTTGATATCTATTTCCCGGGCTTTTCCTGCCCTATAGCATTTAGAGGCGTTTGGAGCGACTAAGTGGGGTAAAGGTCCTCCATTCGTCCACTTCGCGTCTTGTTTATCCCGACGTACATGTATCAACCAACCCTTGTAACAATCTTATCAGCTCATAAAATCACGACCCTTGCGCACTCCCAATTTCTGATCAACAGTGATGAGCAGCGATCCGAATCCAAAAAGCCAAGAAAGGATTACGTTTGAGACATGGGAGTTAGGAGCGGGGCTTGCGTCAACTTGATCCTGGGATGCCGTGCGAGCACGCCATTCGGGGCTAAATGATCGCAAACAACAACATGGATTCAGATATGATGCGATAACATCAGAGTGAGGGGATGAGGGGGAGACGAGGCTTAGGAAGGCAGGGATCGATGAAAATAAAAGTATATATAGACAAATCAATCTTGCTTTTACGTGTTTTCACCGGCTTTTGTGTAACACTCTTGATCAAATCCATTCGAGGTATTGAAGAGACACACATACCCAGCTCCTCAAGATCCCACTTATCCTTTTCAAGACCGAGCTCCTGCCGTCCAATTGGCTCGAGATCCTTCACCAAAATGGCACCAGCACTCACTTCTCCCTCGCCTAGTGCACCACACACACTCTCCGACCCAACCACTACAACCACAAAGAAAGCCCCCAAATCCATCTTCCCAGATGGAATACGCACATCAGGCCAACACGAGCCCATCTACTCCCTCTTACAACCCTACTCTGCCTTCCCGAAAGAAATCACCGGCCCAACAGCATGGAGCAAAACAGACTACGCATCCAACCCCGAACGCTGGACGCACATTTTCTCAGCCGACGAAGTGCGCGAGATGAGCGAAGCAGCTGATGGCTTCATCGCCTCTGGAACACCCTTGACCGGTATCACCAAAGATCTATTCCCACTACCCAACTTCTCCAAGTTCCTTGAGCCGTTGCGGAAAGAATTAATCGATGGAAAGGGTTTTATTCTCTTCAAAGGTATGCCTGTTGAGAAGTGGGGCAACCAGAAATCTGCTGTTGCGTATATGGGTCTCGGAACGTATCTAGGTTACTTTGTGAGTCAGAATAGTCGGGGTCATGTGCTTGGGCATGTGAAGGATCTGGGTGAAGATGCTACGGCGATTGACAAAGTGCGGATTTATCGGACGAATGCCAGGCAGTTCTTCCATGCTGATGACGCGGATTTGGTGGGATTATTGTGTGTGGCAAAGGCGTTGGAGGGTGGGGAGTCTGATCTCGTAAGTCTGATGCAATTTCCAAGACCTCTTCCAAGGTATGCGGTCTTACTGACTTGCCGCGTGTACAGGTCAGCAGCCATGAAGTATGGAACGATCTTCAGAAGAACCACCCTGACGTCGCCGAACTGCTCACACAACCCATCTGGTACTTTGATCGCAAAGGCGAGACGAGCGTAGGACAGAAGGAATGGATCAAAACCGCCGTATTCTACCTCGAGACGGGAGATAATCCAAGGGTCTACAGCAAGTAAGCAAGCGCCCAAGGAACCATAAATTCCGCAGAATTACAGACTGACAGAAGCGTCTACAGATTCGACCCCTACTTTGTCCGTTCCTTGACCCGCTTCTCGGACGCAGGTCTGATCCCCGCTCTTTCCGACGCCCAAGAACGCGCCATTACCATTCTCGAGGAGACATGCCAAAAGCATGCGCTGCACATGATTCTGGACGTGGGCGATATCCAGTTCCTGTCCAACAACCACATATTCCACGCCAGAACAGCGTACAAAGACTATGCGCCACCAGCGCCAAGGAGGCACTTGATGAGGTTGTGGTTGAGTACGCCGGAGGGCGAGAGTGGATGGAGATTGCCGTTCCACGATAGTAACGAGAAGAAGAGGGGTGGGATTCAGGTCAACGATACGGCACCCGTCGCACCGTATGACGCGGAGTAATCGGTTGTCGCATGTGGTTCGTAATTATCTAGCTCTGTAAGTAGCTTGCGAATGTTTGTATAGCAAGGAAAATCGGAGATTCGCAGAAGACCATAAAGTGTTGCGATTCAATGTGGTATCATTCTTCTCTCGAGGCGCGACTTTTGCACCAACTCTTGTGTTTGGGTGCCACACATGCTAGACTGTCTCTGCACGTTCAGCTGATCCAACGGTGATCCTACTGCGCGTGCAGCTTTGGTGTCGTGTGTGCAGTAACCCATAATTTCAACCTTCCAAATTTCATAGCGCAATCCCCAGCCGTTTTGCGACGCCGTGATGCGCATCTGTGGGTGATCTTTCTGGCTTTAAATCTCTGTTGTCTTATTATGCGCCTAGAATCCCCGTCCGCGTCCCCTGCCACCGCCGCCTCTTCCGCGACCACCTCCACCACGTCCACGGCCTCCTCCGCGGCCACCGCCCCTTCCACCACGGTCAGCACCACCGACCTCTTTCCTTGCCTTGTTCTTGGGCTTGGGCGCGTCGTCGATGAGAAGTGTGTCGAGCGGTAATGAATCAGGGAGGATGATGTAACGGATTGTGGAACCGCGGACGGTCATTGTGTCGAGGGCTACGGTATCGCGAGACTTGGGCGTGTACTTGACGGCTCGGAGCGCAACGTTCATGAGCGGTGAGACGGAGGTGATTGTGCCGTTTACGATAGTGCCTGCGCTCCTGTCAGATCATGCGTCCAGGAAGTAGCTGAGGGAAGGTTTCAATGTAATAGCGTGCTTGCGCAACTCTCAAGAAGACGCGCTCGCAACAGAGCTGCTGTCGCCAGACAACAACGCGATGAGATCAGAATAGAGGGGATGTGGGCTTTACTGACCATTCTTGAGCTCGACTGTGACCGTCTCATTCTGGCACTTCATAAGAAACCTGCGCGAAGCCGTTAGTTACAAGTCTCGTAAGAGTCGAGGGCTAACCTACCTGACGAGCTTCATAATTGCTGATATTCGGCCTGGACAATGGTGTAAAACGGAGTATTTGCTCGGGTATTATGCTATCGGCGATTGGATATGGTATAGCTGCTGCGGCGCGAAGATACTCGCGGGGAAGCTCCGACTAGGAAATTGCGATCGAGCTTCAGGCTGCACGGGCCAAGGTTAATCCGTCACCGAGATCACGTGCACTGAAACTCACGCCCGCGGGCCCCCAAGATCAACATCAACATCACGAACTTGTACTACACAAGCAATAGGATGAAACTCGGCGTGAAACATGTGAATTCCTCGTCTCGTCTAAATTACGTACGCTAATTATAGTATACATACCGAACATACAATGACACATTACTCATTCCTTCCTTCGATAAAAGAGTAAGTGTCCCAACGTCCCTCAGCCGACCCTTGGCCACCCTTGCGCTGCTTGCCTTTACCGTCATGCTTGGTACGGGGTTCTGAAGTAGGTCGTGTAATCTTCAACGACCGGTCTGCTTTTATCTGTCGAACTTTTGGCGACCCGCCTGCCCTGCGTGAAGAGCTTGCGCCGTCTGGTGTATAGAAGATCTGCTCAGACTGGGCCTCTTCTCGAGCAGTAGCCTGAGTTGCGTTCATAGCTTGTAACATCTCATCACTCGAGGATGGATATGTAGGCGCTGCGGGTTCGTACTGTATCGGTCTGTGTGTGATGTCGAAGCTGTACGTCTCCTTCAAGTACTTGGCGATGGCATGGTTCTCTTCCTCAGTGCCACTGCCGTAGTAATTCTTCAGCTCCTTTGCTACGAGCGTGTCCAGAATAACGCCTCGGTTCAGCGGTTTCTCACTCGCCTGCTTAGAAGGATTGCTGCTCGGTAGCGCAACTGTGGCATCCCAACGCAGGCCCATAGCGGCAAGTCTGTCTCTGCCTGACCATCCTGTAGCGCGCAGTGGGGTTTCCTGAACAAAGCTTCTGACGCGCTCCTCAAGGTCTTCCCAGCTAACTTTCTGAACAAACCAAGGTCGCAGCATCTCTTCAACAGCGTCAGAAAACCCACGGAAAGATTTGTTCGAATAGTACAAGTGCTGGACCTTGCCCATCAGAAAGCCCACATCCATCCCCGTGATGGTAGGATTTACGCCGACTCGGCGCAAAAGCTCATGCCAGTCTTGGAAGATGTGCTTTCGAAGGCCCACTTCAGAGTCGACCTGTAGGGCTTTAATAAAGCGGCATAGAACTACACGAGCTTCCACTTGTGTCACCTCGCCAGCGATGTCGATGACTGAAGTATCGAATAGTTGAGGATGGGTCTGGGTGAGTAAGCGCGCTCGTGCTTTTTTGAAATATACAGCCGCTAATTTGCGTTCACTGATGGCTTCCATGGCCGCGTCTAGGGGCATTTTCAACGCAGCCTCGTATTTCATGTTCCGAAGATAACCTCGTAGGTGGAACTCAAGCTGTTCCACTTTTATGATATCCTCGATACCGCCATTGACATGTCCTCGGCGGGGGTCGAAAGGCGGTGCTAAGTTTGCTGCTCGTAGAGGCTCCATGATGTCGCTTGGTAGGAGATCTCTGCTACTAGGGTTGACGCCCAAGCTGTATAGGAGAGTGCGGTAATGTTGAGACAGAAAACGCGCATCCAACGCAACGAGCTTTTTCGCTCGATCGACAATCTGTGTCCTCATTGCCGGCGTCAATGGCCCGTAGAAGTCACTCAAGACTTGTCGTCCTTCCGCTTCGGCACGCAAGCGCGCAGGGAGACCCATTTCTTTTCGGCACTCCGCGACAAGAACCTCTAGATCAATTCCGAAATTCCCTGTAGCGTACGGTAAACTCGATTCGATGTTCCTAAAGGTCTCGACAGATGGCTTTTCGTAAAAGGCAGGGTTGTCTTTGATGAGGGTCTTAATTTTCCTCATGTAGTTTTGTCTTTCTTCTTCTCCGGGAAACAAAGGATAATCCCATACCGAGAAAACCCCTTCACC